TGTTAACCTTTTAAGAGCCATTTGTTTGTTTGTGTTTTTTTGTTCTTCGAAATACAGTCAAGTAAATTTGGAGAGACCCAAATCATTTTAGAGACAGAGGCACAGGAGTGACCAGATGTCGAAAAGTGGATCCACTGATATCCCTCTGTCTGTGGATCAGATTGTGACAGATGTCCCTGAGCCTCCTTACCCACTCAGAGCTCAAGGAATGTTGAAAAATGTTTGTAGGTGAACATTATTCATCAAAAAGATTAACTGTGTGTTTATTTGTTTTGTAATTCATTGACCTCCCTTGTTCTGGAAGCAACTCGTCCATGCACTTTGACAGTCACTCTCACCTGTTCCAGAAGCTTCTCCTCTCAGCGCGTGTCCTGTGTGGGTTTGGTTGTTGGGAAAGTGTTGTGTTTCCTCTCACTCTGTCTACGCTGTTTGTTTCGGCAGCACAGAGTAAAGGTTGTGTCAGTATTAGGTTGCATGGCATTTTCAGAACTGTAGTTCATTAATGCTATGTGCATTAATAATGCAAATGATAAATGATCTCGCAGCTGTAGAAACTATGTCAGGGTCTGCAGTTTGAGAGCCCTGCACTGAAGATATTAAATGAGTGCAGTAGAATAGAGGTTTAATTCCCCTGTGTTTTTCTGCAGATCTACTGGAGGACATAAAGAAGAGCTTTAGGTCGTTCCAGGCTGAGGAGAGTCGTGTGAGAAACGCCTCTAGTGCAGTGGAAGACTCGGCCGACACACGACAGGACACCAAGCGCAAACTGAGCACGTGCAGGGGCGAGGGGCTGCTGGGGCCGCTAGAGAAGAAGGTCAAAGCTCTGAGCGTCGTCAGCTTCAACAAACAGGTGAAATAAACAGCATTTAAAGGTGCTGTGTCACTTTTCTGGTCCAGGGTCTGTCTGTCTGCTCATGTTCAGGGACATGTTATTACTGAATCATTCAGTCTGATATTTCACATGAGATCCATGTTAAATAAACATGTATGTTTAATATTAGTCAAAGACATTGTTACTGGAAACAGACACGTCAGAGTTGTTCAGGGGCACATGCGCTCTCTAGTGGCACAGTTTTGTATTACAAGTACATAAAGGCATACAGAGATAGGGCATTTAAAGCACAACAGTTAGAGGCAGAGGGAGCCAAAAATAAAATAATATTACTCAAGAAGAAGTACAAAGTAATGGTCCAAGAAATGAGTAACAGTAAAAAAGTATTTTAGTATTAGCGGTGGGTTGAGTAACCAAAAATTGTACTCATGCAAGTTACTTTAATATAATTTTACTCAAGAAGAAATTCAAAGTAGTGGTCCAAGAAATGACTCAAGTATCAAGGGAAAAATACTACTCAAATAAGAGTAACTTCAAGAGTAACTATAGTAACATCTGATTTATAATTTAAAGTTAATATAATTGGAAGGACAAAACATTAAGTAATGCACAAAAGCTGCGATTTTCAAACGATAGACACACAAATGTAGTACAAGAAACACAGACAATATTTCATATTGTCAACATAAAGCTTACTAACATAAAGTCACTTATTCACAGTGGGAAGGGTAACTAAAACTTTTACTCAAGTAAGAGTACTGTTACTTTAAACAAAAATATTACTCAAGTAGGAGTAAAACTACTACTGAAAAGTACAATTTAGTTCTACCCACATAGATTGAGTGTGTGTTTGGTTGTTGCAGATCTGTGGAGGCTCCGGTCTGGACTGCTCTGCCTGTGGAGGAGCTCTGTGTCTGACCTGGTTCTTTGGCAGAAAATGTGGAGGTCCAGAGTGCGACGGCATCGTTTCCCTGAGCCAGAACACCATCGAGACGGCCAAAAAAACACAAGACACTATCAACGCTCTGCCCCTGAAGATACAAGAGGCCAAGGACAAGGCAGGTGCACGTTAGGGCTGTAGTATCACTATGATCTGACTGTGTATCTGACTCCAAGTGCACTCACAAGACTACAAGCGCACTGTTTATGCTGAAAAATATTGTATGTAAAAGGCTGGTTAAACGCATCATTCACTCTTAATCTTCTGCTACATCATTACATGCATCATATAGGCACTTATATAAGCCAAAACAGAATAATTAGCCGACAAATATAAAATTTTATAAAACTACTAAAGGACTATAGGCCTAGTTCACTTTACTACTGATGCATTGGAAAATCTCTAGTTATAACTCAACTCAAATACTCCAATAAGTCCAAATAGGTCCAAACCTTGATTTGAGCAAATGTTGGCTAGATTCCACTGTTTTAGATATTTGAATGTTTTTTTCTTTTGCTTATTTCGAGTGAAAAAATGCTTGTTTTTATTTTATGTGAAACAAGACATTTTAAACAGTCACAAATCAAGGTAAATATGATCAAATTGAAGCATTATTAAATATTTCTTAAGATTTCTGTTTGATTATACATATTAAAACTAGGCAAGGCAAGGTTATTTGTATGGCACAATTCATACACAAAGTGCTTTACAGAATTAGAAAAACATTAGAATCACAATGCAAACAAATCAATACAGAAATACTCATCAAATGAACACTAAATGAGAAGAGTGCAGAATAAAAACCCTTTAGTCATAGGCAGCTAAACAGAACAGTCGAGTCGAGTCCGACGAGTCAAAGTAGAATCCAGTCTCACATGTTCAGGAAGACTGTATCAAAACTAGATTCATTAGAACAAGCGTCCATACTGCAAAAGAAAACTACATTTACAGGTCAAAGTTGAGACTGTGTGCTGCTCTTCAGATGGAGAGAGTGAACCTGACGGCTCAAGAGACCAAGGTCCAGTCCAGAGACCTGCAGGAGCGGATCAGCTCCAGTAAAGAGTCCTACGAGAAAGACAAGAACCAAATCAAAGAACTCATCCAGAAAGTTAAGGACTACCTACTCGGTCAGTATAACAATATTCTTTTATCTCAAAATGGAGGGTCTGCCACCTTCAGTGTTTAATGAATACATATTTGTTGTAACTGTGACATCAGCCTGTCGGGGAACTGCAGGTGGAAATTAGCACCTATGTTAAACCTGAAACATGACATCTTTTCTTTTTTTATATATATTATTTTATTTATTATTATTTACATATTCAGATTGAGAAAAAAAGATTTTTATACCCTCCACCTATAAACTTCATATTTCCCCCTTACATTTAGGCGAAGGACTTCTGGTCCAACATTACATAGTTGTTGACTTCCTCTCTTGTGTGTAGATGATTTGCTTCCAGCTGAGGACATAGAGAAAATGGCTCGTGCTGTTCTGAACATAAAGCTGCCCAAGAGTCCAGAGCAGATTCGATCCATGATCCAGGAGCTCACTGATCTCATCAACAACGCCACCAACTCAGACAAAGACCTGAAGAAGCTGGAGGAGCAGGCTAATACTGCACAGGAGCTCAAGGAGCAGGCTCAGGAAGTCAAGTCAGTGTACTCATCTAAGCTTCATATTAAAGCCTCATTTGGGAATTATACTCAAGATTAGAGGTGCACTATATGACATTTATGGGATGTTATTATTTGTACAGAAATATTCCACAAATGACATCAAACTTTTTTTCAATTACAAGTGTTTTTGTACTTTGAAAAACGTGCTACTTACTGATGTGTTGTCTCTCTACAATTCTGACTAATTTGGCCTTCTTATCCTCATGAAGATAGATCAAATAAATGCCACACATGGTTAACACACAATCCTTGCATATTTAAGATCAGTGCTCCACTTTGTGCACCTTCACTAGAATCCTTTGGATAATTTCAGCCCTGGAATTGACAATCTCCTCTGAACAAAACGTAAAAGGTAGATTTTAACCTGAAAACGACCACTGCATGACATCACAAGGTGGAAAGGAGCATTTTGAGGTTTGAGAATGTGGACAGACTAATAATGCAGAATTACTCCAACATGTGTGAATGAAACAAACACAACGCCAGGTCTGTTTTTGAGGACGTCACTGCAGGGATGTAATTACACCTTCTTGTTTGCCCGAATTGTTCCGTACTGTGGCTTTAAACTTCAAGTGTGAAAGTGACAACAACTTTATTATTGAGGGACTTGCCTTAGATTTTAAAATATTGACAATGGCAAAACTGAACAATCAATCTGATGAGGGCTTTTTTTGCCATTTTAAAAATGGAAAGGCTTTTGGACATCGGCCATCTGAGTTTGCTGTGCATTTTTTCACTTTTGTCTTGCTGCTCCTTGCATTTGCACCTCTGCAGGAATTTTGGTGTTTGTTTTCTGTTTCTATTGAAAACTAAATAATCAGTCATAACAGAAAAATATGAATACACTATACATATTGTTAATGTTTAAAGTGTTTTTTGTTGTTGTTTTTTTTGTTTTGTTTTCAGGAATCGGACCAAAGACATAAATGTGGCTGACATCACGAAGGACCTTTACGATGCAGAGAAAGCTCAGGACAAAGCCAACGATGATTTGGACAATGCCAGCCAAGACCAGGACATGATCCGGGACCTGCTGCCAGAGGTAACCACCACAAGGATGAACTCACAGCTACACCATGTGCTAGGAAAGTGCATTTTCTACGTGAACTAGTTCAAAGTTCAGCCCACAAATTTCAAAATGAACTAGTTCGTTCATACTGTAGTACATAATTGTTTATAGTTAATAGTTCGTTCTCTTTCATAGTTCCAAAAAAACTGGTTCATAGTTCTTCTAGTTCTTTTTTTTTTTTTCCAGTGTGAGCGATTATTTTTTAGTATCTTTGCCAAAGCACCACAGAACCACAGACAGCAAATATTTGATCAGTTTTCACAATGAAACTCTGTGATAGATTTCATCTTCAGCAGAGCCGCTCCTGTACACTGTCAGTGGGATTTGGGTGGAGGATCTGTCTTGTCTTTTGGTTTCGTACATGCTTTCATAATCCTTGAAAGTCTCGCCGGGTACTTCAGTTCAATGTGTCATTTTAAGTTTACTGATGATGTGACTGAAGTGTGGGTTTTCTTTTGGAAAGCCCGTGGGCAAAGTTTGCACATACATGTGAGGTTATTCCCTTCCTCAGCTACCTCATCATAGAAGTCTTTTAAATGATGAATCTGTGTTGATCCTGGTACAGTTGCTTCCTTGCTGCTCTTTTGTTTTGTCTTATTTTGATGACACATGCAGCGATGCGATGCTGGTGGCTCATGTTGTTGCCAGATTGAAGGTTTTTCCACTAAATATGAAGGGCTCTTTATGGTGTGTTTAATTGTGTTTTCGCCTGGCATGTAAAAAAAATCTGGAACCCTATTGAACAAAGTTAAATAGATGGCTCATGTCGCTCACAGACACCACAATAAACGCGTTCACAGTATGTTTATCAGGCAGTAATACAGTGCAGTTCACGTTCTCCCAAAATATGAACACGTTAATTGAACGATAGTTCAACGCATTCAGGTACAACACTGGCTGTACCCCATCAGAAGTGTTGGGACATACTGGTGATAGCTGTTTTGGTTTGTCTCTGGTGATATTGTCTGAGTTTGTGACTGGAGGAGGGGATGGGACCACTGTAACTGAAGTGTTTTCTGTCAGAAGCAAATAGTCTTTTAAGCCTTGTGTGGGAAGGTTTATTTGGCCTTTTTTATGTATTTTATTAATGGTTTCACTGGACATTTTAGCTTTGATTTTTAATGAAGTTGAACTCTTCTAAATGTATGGAAATACCTTTGTTAGTGAGTAGTGCTCATGCTGGCGCCTAACAACAGGACACACATTTTAAATGTGACTATACAAAAATAATACAAATGTTTTCTTTTCAGCTGATGTCATCAACATTCATTGGGGGTGATGCTAACTGTAGACACTGCTCTGTCTGAAGCTCTGTTACTCAAATTAGACTTTAATCTGAGCTTTGTTTTGACCTGAAAGAGCTGAGTTAGTTGGAACTACATTAGGAATATGTCTGTGTGTGGTGGAACGTGTCTGTGTGTGGTGGAACGTGTCTGTGTGTGGTGGAACGTGTATCATGTCTGTGTGTGTGGTGGAACGTGTCTGTGTGTGGTGGAACGTGTATCATGTCTGTTGTGTGGTGGAACGTGTCTGTGTGTGGTGGAACGTGTCTGTGTGTGGTGGAACGTGTATCATGTCTGTGTGTGTGGTGGAACGTGTCTGTGTGTGTGGTGGAACGTGTCTGTGTGTGTGGTGGAACGTGTATCATGTCTGTGTGTGTGGTGGAACGTGTCTGTGTGTGTGGTGGAACGTGTCTGTGTGTGTGTGGAACGTGTCTGTGTGTGGTGGAACGTGTCTGTGTGTGTGGTGAACGTGTGTGTGTGGTGGAACGTGTCTGTGTGTGGTGAACGTGTGTGTGTGTGTGGTGGAACGTGTCTGTGTGTGGTGGAAACGTGTGTGTGTGGTGGAACGTGTCTGTGTGTGGTGGAACGTGTCTGTGTGTGGTGGAACGTGTATCTGTGTGTGTGTGGTGGAACGTGTCTGTGTGTGTGGTGAACGTGTCTGTGTGTGTGGTGGAACGTGTCTGTGTGTGGTGGAACGTGTCTGTGTGTGTGGTGGAACGTGTCTGTGTGTGTGGTGGAACGTGTCTGTGTGTGGTGGAACGTGTCTGTGTGTGGTGGAACGTGTATCGTGTCTGTGTGTGTGGTGGAACGTGTCTGTGTGTGGTGGAACGTGTCTGTGTGTGTGGTGGAACGTGTCTGTGTGTGGTGGAACGTGTCTGTGTGTGTGGTGGAACGTGTCTGTGTGTGGTGGAACGTGTCTGTGTGTGGTGGAACGTGTCTGTGTGTGTGGTGGAACGTGTCTGTGTGTGGTGGAACGTGTCTGTGTGTGTGGTGGAACGTGTATCGTGTGTGTGGTGGAACGTGTATCATGTCTGTGTGTGTGGTGGAACGTGTATCGTGTCTGTGTGTGGTGGAACGTGTCTGTGTGTGGTGGAACGTGTCTGTGTGTGTGGTGGAACGTGTCTGTGTGTGGTGGAACGTGTCTGTGTGTGTGGTGGAACGTGTCTGTGTGTGGTGGAACGTGTCTGTGTGTGGTGGAACGTGTCTGTGTGTGGTGGAACGTGTCTGTGTGTGGTGGAACGTGTCTGTGTGTGGTGGAATGTTCAGCAATGTTATTTTATGTGCAAGAGACATTTAACAGCAAAAATCAAATCACCTGTTGTAGTTCCAGTTTAATCAGCTCTTACGGGTCCGATAACTTTAACATTTAAAACAGCACTCAGATTAACATCTAAAAAGCCTCTGACAGATTAGTGCCTCTAGTTAGCATCACACCCCCAAGGAATGTGGATGACATCAGCTGCAAAGTATGAAAACAGTGCCATTGTTTTATATCTTTTTACTTTTACCCTGTCCTGTTCATTCCTTCCACAGGAAAGCAAGATGAATGAGTTGGAGTCAATGTTGATGGACCCAAGACTGGAGACTTTAAAAGACGAGATTGAAGCTGTGAAGAATAAAACTGAACAGAACCGAGAACAGGCAGAGGAGGCCAAGGAGGAGGCGGAGTCTGCTCTGAACAACGCATTGGACGCTGTACCGGTAAAAAAGAAGCAAATCATTTCACTATAATCTTGAGTGTTATCAGAACCCCTGCAGTTAGGAGTGAGTGACTTATATTCTATACAGTGATAACATCATGATTCTTCCTGCAGTCTGCCTGTTTTTCCTTATGACACGACCACCTTCCTTGTTCAATGTTGGTCACGTCAGTTTATCTCCTCTCAGGGTCTGGAGGACGTCCTGGAGAAATTTGATCTGTTGAAAAATAAAAAATCAAACCAAACACAGGACAGTGAAGCAGCCAAAAAATTGGAGGAGCTGAAGAAGGAGGCGGAGGCTCTAAAGACGGAGGTGGAGGACAAACTGCAGCAGATAGAAGGTACTGACTCCAACAAGCCTAGAACATATACAACATACAGATTAGGTCTATGAGGAAACAAGCCTACAACAGACAGATCAGGATTATCTATGAGAAAAGAGAACGTTTTTTTACTATTGTTGCTAAATTTCTTAGAATGATGATGAGAATAATGATGTTACAAGTCCGAGTCCGAGTCATTTGATTTTGAGGACCTGCCGATACCAAGTCCTGATCTGATACTTCGATAAAACATGAAATGAACTAAGAGCAAAGAATAAGATCCAGGATGTATGAGGGGATCAGAAAGTATTGATTTCAGTGTGTGGTATTTGGGCTGAACTTAGTGTGAAAAATCAAATGTCCAAAACTTTAATTTGATTAACTTTTCTAACCTTGCACCATCATTGTTGAAAACCTTGACTTTTCACAGTCTGGTCTTGGAATGTGTAACTTAGTAAATTTAATGAACTGGACAAAACAGGAACCAGACCAGAATCAGATCAGACCTGAGACTCGACTCTGCACAATCTACAGTTTGTACATTTGATATTATATGGAAGTCTGTGCATTACATTTGAAACATTTAGGCTCGTCTATAAAAGCCAAATAATACAAAATCTTACCAAATAAAAACGAGATGACAGAAGCCCCACAGCCTCTCTCCCCCGCACCACCACCACATCCACAAACCCACCGCGGAGCGCGCACCACAACATCGATCCCACTGCTCAAGAAACACTCCATGCTGCTGTTCCCACCCCCCTCCTCCAAAAGCGCCAACTCTGTTGCACAACATGCAAACAAACAGCACCATGCGACGACGCCCTCGGCCGCGCAGGTGTGAACACGAGCCACAGAACCCCAGGTAACAGCGCCCGAGCACGGCACGGCCCAAAAGTCCCAGCGTGAGTGCGCCGCTAGTACAGCAGGCGCTGGGATCAGTCGTGCTAACTGGACTGAACAAATCCCACGCCTCAGTTAAAAAACAAAACTGTTGTGTTCTGTGTGCACTGTGTGTTATATACATATATTATTTTTCCGATACCTGATCAGAACATAACGTCCGAGTCCGGATCGAGTCCGCAGTCATGTTATCGGCGCCGATTTCCGATCACATGATTGGATCGGGACAACCCTAGTTACAAGAAAGAAAAATGACATGAGTAGGATAAAATTGGATCTTGACTTGATCTTGTCTCCATGGAGATAGATTAGTTTAGTGCCATACTGTGGAACATTCCCTGCAAACTAATAACATCTCCATGAAAACAAGAGGACCCATAGTAATTCTACAAAACTTAATGAATTATGGACTGGCTGAACTAAACCATGGCTATGAAGTTGTTACTTCAAACTGGTTGTGTTTGTGTTTCAGACCTGGAGAAGTGGATCGAGGGTCTGAATCAAAGCGGCCTGGACAAAGCAGCAGAAGTGGCCGAGCTTCTGAAAAAGGCTGATTCTCTGAGAGAGGCCATCAGCCGCAAAGCCGAGTCCTACACCACGTGTACATGAAACTTTCCAACATCTTCTAGTATGTGAAACACCTACTGTATGTCAGGGCAGCAGTTTGAACAGGAAGTCAGTGATCCCATTAGGATTATGAAGCCATCTGACATCAGTGTTGTTCACAGTGAACAGAATGTAAATGACGATCTACGTGTGTTCCACTCAGAACCTGAAGAAAAGTATTGTCTGCAGTGTAGTGTAGTAACACTGAAATGTCACTAGAGGGCAGTACAGGAGATAAAATCACATAGAACCACAACCTCACTTGACCCTTTTCCCTTTTTTACAAACTCAGTATTTGTACAGTATTTTGTTACAAATGTGCATTTGTTTCATTTTTAAAACATACTCTTACATTTATGTACGTATGTGTATTTTTATTGAATATTTTGAAGATTCAGATTTAATTGTTTCTCTCTCCACTTTTTAAAAACTCCAAAAGAAACACGATCATAAGCTAAAGCTACAGAATCTTGGTGCTAACATGACTCATTATTATCTGATATAGTGAACATTTCTGTTTGCTTTTTTACATTGTTATTAAAGTGAACCATATTTTTTCACTATAGTTGTGTGTAATTGTGATTCTGTTGATCAGATTCTTTCTTGTCACTGCTACGACTAGAATAGAGACATCTCCAGTACTTTACAATAGTTTACAATACTTTATTCCTCTGAATAATAATACAGAGGGCTCACAGTGGACTTGCCAAATGACTTCTATAATGCTGGATCCATTGTGTAACTTTTCTGCTCTGGGCTCTCAGATCCTGCCATCTGTCTATGAAGGTGTTACTGCTTTACCTACAAATATCCACCACCAGACCAGGTTACAGGTCAGCTCTATGGAAAGGTGGAAGTTAATGTCCCTTTTTGCTTTTTCAGACTTCACAAATGGTCGTTATCCATCAATATTTACCTAAGTTCAGTTCATTAGGAATGTGTTAAAAGCCTCACTTGTAAATGATTGTGTGACTTCCTTTTGCTGCTCTTATTGGGACAGATGTGGCTACAGTAGAATCTTACCACCATCGAGTGTGGAGTGAATGAAGAACGCTCTGAAGCAGATCTTCGGATGTCTTGAAAGGCACTACACAAATCCAGTGCATTATGAGAATTATCATTAAACCAGAACAAAAGCAGACTACACAAGGACTAAGCAACACTAAACTTTTTTTTAACTAATGTGTGTCTAAAGTGAAATAATTCTAATTAAATCAAATCAAGGTAAAAGCAGGGCCATGCCACAGACACTTTCTGTTTAGTACGACTTCATTTGAGCTCATTTAACCCACGTGTGAGAAACAGGCCGAGAATGAAGACAAAGAAGACAGTACAGGTTTTGTAGGGCTGGGTATCATTAAGAAGATGCTGATACGATACATACCTTGATACATAGGCCACGATATGATACATATTTCGATACAGTGAACTTACGATTCGATACGATATATTTCAAATTGATTCGATACCGTTCAATAAAAATAAAGGCAAAATCATGGCTGTGATAGTAAAAGTCTTTGTTAAACCACTTCTTGTGCAAAGTGAATATGAAACACAAACATTTTAATCCTCAAAACTGTAAAAAATGTCAATTGTGTCACATGCACTGCAAAAAAATGTAATCTAGCCAAGTTAAGATGACTTGAATTGAGAAAGTTTTATCATGATTTGAGTAAATTCCACTTGACAAGTTAAATTATCTGTCAGTGGAATACGATTTTTTGTTCTTAAAATATGAAAATACAACTTGCTACACTTAAAAAAAGAAAAACAACAACCCTTAAAATAAGAAATGAAATTGAATGTCGCTTGAATTTAGAAAAACACTTATTCCATTGGTAGAGTCGACTCAGATAAAGTAAAATGTTCTAAATGTTCATTTTAACGAACCTTTTTGCTGTGTGAATGAGTTTTCTTCCACTAAACAAACAACAAAACTGTAGCGCTGTAACAAAATAATCTAGTAAAATACACAAAAAATACTCAATACGTAATATATCTATACAGCAGCCCACGATATCGATACTGTATCATTACATTAAACGATACGATATATCGATATTTCAATATTTTTGCACACCCCTAATGTTTTGTCCCACTTTAAACATATCTTAGCTCTGATTTAAACTCTAGAGAAATCACTACAGAAGCTGGAAACTGATGTTCATGTGAAATACACCAATACAACTGTCTCAAAATACATCCTGATCATTTTGTCCTGCCAAAACTCTGTTATCTCACACTCTTATTAACTGAGGTCCTGTATCTGTTCCCAGCCCCCTCCCCTCTGGGACCCCCTCCTCTTCCTTTGTGGCTCCAGGTGAGGGGCTGCGGTGGCTGACTTACCCATGGGGGAGGTGTGTGTCCGTGGGCAGAGGAATGCCTTTGTCTGGGTAAGCCTTAAGGCCAAGGTGGAGGGGGTCTGGATGTCTTTAATTCAGATTCCTACAAAATAGTGCCATGGGGTTTAGACCGGTTTAGGCACAGTCCTGGATTAGTCCTGGTTTGGCCCAAGCGTGGTCTTGAGCTGACGGAGATTTCAAATTTTAACGGGATTTTATTTTTAGTTTAATTAACTGATGATTTTATTCCTAATGATTGTATCTTTTGTTCAAATTTAGCCTTAATCCAGGTTCAGTTCTTGTTTAGTCCAGTTTTAGATACAGTTTTATATAAAGATGCCACATTATGATATTTTCTGATCTCTTTTTATCACAGTTTCCTCATCACAAACAGACCTGGAGTGGTGTTTTGTTTCATTCACATGCAAACCCTGAATACTGATTTAGACTTCTTTAGAGTTCTTCTCTCAAAACGCACTGTTCCACCTTGTGATGTCATGTAGCAGTAGAGTAAGTGCTCCTCTGTGTAGTCCAGTGTGGTTAATCTGGACTTCCGATAATTTATGTTATTAGGTTGTTTTTTCAGACCAAGAGTTTGTTTTTGTTTTGTTTTTGTTTATCATTAAGAAGTTGCCGATACGATACGTACGTCGATACATAGGCCACAATACGATACAGTGATGTTACAGTGAGCTTTTGGTTCAATACGATATATTTCAGAACGATTCAATAGGGTTCAATAAAAAATACAGGCTGACTCATGTCTGTGATAATAAAAGTCTTTGTTAAAGCACTTCTTGTGTAAAGTTCATATGAAACAGTTTAATCATCAAAACAGTGAAAATGTCAAATGTGTTGTATAAATGAGATTCCTTCCACTGAACAAGCAACAAAACTGCAGTGCTGTAAGAAAATAATTGAGTAAAATAAACCAAAAACTACTCATGGTGATATATCAAGACAGCAACCCACGATATCGATACAGTATCCTCACATTAAACAATACAATATATCGATATTTTGATATTTTTGCACACTCCTAGTTTGTTCTGCTCCCTGCGGTCTTCGTCAGAGTCATGTGATGTTGCTGTGACGTGTCGCTCCGCTGATTTAAACAGGTTTTGGTGCTGTAAGTCAGTCTTTATTTATAGACAGAGTCTATAGTCTATATGTATGTCACAAAGATGCTTTACAGAGCATTATAGATTCATTGTTTTTTCTCTCCACACTCAGTGATGGTAAGCTACTTCTGTAGCCACAGCTGTCCTGGGGCAGAATGACTGAAGCGCGGCTGCTATGCCAATCTATGCACCACATTCACTCACACACACACTAGGCAAAGTGGGTGAAGTGTCTTGCCTAAGGACACGACAACAGTTTTGCGACTTGCGCCCCACTGTGGCACCTGATTTTCCCAGTGTCTCCATCCAAGAAGTAACCAGTCCCGGCCCTGCTGAGCTTCTGACATCTGACGGGATCAGGCTTTGACAAACCGGTATGACCATGTGGAGGCAGGACGACAGCGCCACCTGCAGTCCCACTTCCTCAGGACAGTATCCCGGGTGTGTGAGAGTAAAAAAGCCCCTCGTCCCGGTTTATATTTTGATTGCCTCTTTTATCCAACGAAGATGTTTGTTGTTATAGTGTCGTAAACGGTCGATTTGAGTTGTTTCTGTCCGCTTTGTGTTTTGTTGCTTGTGTTTCTCCTTCGCTGTTTCCTTCTCATGTTCTGTTCTCTGTGCCTTTTTTTGTGGACTGAACACGCTCCCTATTTCCTCGACGTGTGTGTTATTGCTGGACATGCAGGGTATTTGGTATGGATATGGTTTATGTTTGTTGTTTTTCTTACCATTGCTGGTTTGTGCTGTCCATTACATTACTTGTATTTGTTGTTTCTTACCATTGTCTGTATCCTTAACTTTACCATTGTTGATACACTTATGTTATACTACCAAACTATAACAGTGACTCTTGTCTGCACTTGTAAATAGTTCATATAGTTTAATTCACAATGTCTGAAAAACGCAAAATAAGCTCATTGTGTTAGTAGGGGTGGGATTAAATACATTTTCTTCTTCCCACTCCTTTTTGGGCAAAAATAGTAATAATAATAGTTATTACTAGTTGTTGTTATTTTCATTTCTATTATGATTTCACTTATGTCATATGTTCCATTGTATATAAATGTAAATCTTTACTTGCCCAAAATAAAATAAAAAAAATAAAATTTTAAAAAAATGACGTTACATTTATGCTCAAGTTCTATTTTATCTTTTGGCTGGACGAGTAGTTGCCTGAGTTTTCTGTTCGGTTTCACTGGTGTGTTCATATTGTGTTTTCTCATTGCCCTCTGCACTTTTAACTATAAACCGGGATGAGGGGGCTTGTTTACTCTCACACATCTGGGAGACTGTCCTGAAGAAATCGGACTGCAGATGGCGCTGTCGTCCTGGTAACAATATGATAACATGACTTAAAGTTCACAAGAGTCAATTCTGAGTAATATAGGAGCTTTAAACCAAATCTGACAGTCATTCGGAGCTGGTTTCATCTCTGTTTTGTATCTCAACTTGGACCCTCATTCCAGAAGCGTCTCCAGGATGTTGTGTCTGAACGTATCCTCTCCTCTTTTATGTTTCATGTAGTGTCTCTCATTATGTTGGACTCTTTGCTCCTCTGCCCTCCCTCACATGTGTCTGTGCGGTGGGTGGGCACGGGGCTCTGTGCCAAAAGAAAGACGCACATTTTTCCTCTTGTATTGATTCATTACAATTTACTTTACATTTTATTTGTCACTCTATTTTTCACTCTATCCTGTGAGCTATAAAGGTGCACTATGTAACCTTTTAGTCTGTCATCTGCTTGTTTTTATTTATTGAATCACAGTTGGTTTAAAGCTCAAAAATACCTAGAAAATCAGACGTGCTGACGGGGTTGCATCTCCACAGATCTGACCTGTAACTTGGTCTGGTTTGAAAGATAGAAAGTTTTAATGCCATACTGTGAAACATTCCAGACAAAGCAACAGCATCTCCATGGAGAAAAGCATATGACGGACCCTCCACCAGAAAAGTTACGCAATGTTTGAATGTTTCCTCCTCAAAAACCAGAGTCTTAAAAGTCTTAAAATGGTCTTAAAT